AGCCCCAAGTCTGGCTCCCTGCTCAGTGGGGAGTCTGTTTCTCCCTCTGCCTCTGCCCCTCCCTGCGCTCATGATCCCTCTTTCCCTCTCTCAAATAAATCTTAAAAAAAAAAATGAAATCTTGCCATTTGTAACAACATGAATGGACTTAAAGGGTATTATGCTAAGTGAAACAAGTCAGAAAGACAAATACCATATGATTTTACTTACAAGTGGAATCTAAAAAACAAAACAAATGAATGAATGAACACAGAAACAAAAAGGAGAAATAGACTCATAAATATAGAGAACAAACTGATGGTTGCCAGAGGGGTGGGGAGTGGGAAAATGGCCAAAATGGGTGAAGGGGAATGGAAGGAACAGGCTCCCAGTCAGGGAATGAATAAGTCACAGGGATTAAAGACACAGCATAAGGAACAGCGTCAATGGTACTGTGAAAGTGCTGTATGGGGACAGATGGTGGCTACACTACTCTTCAACAGACAGAGCTGTGGAATCACTATGCTGTGGACCTGAAACTAATGTAACACTGTGTGTCAACCATACTTCAGTTAAAAAAATAAATAAAAACACAAACAACCCTTCAAAAAAAAAAGACAAAGGAACTCAATAGATTTTTCCAAAGAAGATCTACAAATGGCCAACACGCACATGAAAAAAATGCTCAACATCATTAGTCATTAGGGAAATGCAAATCAAAGCCATAATGACAACACTTCACACCCACTAGGATGGCTATAATCAAAGAAACAGATAATAACAAGTATTGACTTAAATACGAATAAACTGCAACTCTCACACATTGTCGGTGAGAATGTAAAATAGTGCAGCCACTTGGAAAATAAGGCACCACTTAGGCAAACGTTAAACACAGAGTTACCACAGGAGCCAACAATTCTACTGCAAGGTATATACACAGGAGAAATGAAAACATCTCCACATAAAAACTTTCAAATATTCATGGTATCATTGTTCACAAGAATCAAACAGTAGAAACAACCCAAATGTCCGTCAACTGATGAGTGGATAAACATAAGGTGATATATCTATACACCGGTGAAATACTATTCAGCCATAAAAAGGAATGAAGTACTGATACATGGGTGAATCCTGAAAACATTATGCATACATAAAAAACCATATGTTGTATGACTGCATATATATAAAATGTCCTGAATAGGCAAATACCTTGAGACAGAAAGTAGGTGGTCAGGGACTAGGAGGAGAAGGAAACTGGGAGTGCTAATGGTTCTAAGTATTCCAGAATATAAAAATATTCTGGAATTAGATAATTGCACAATTTTGTGAATATACAAAAAAAAATACACTTTAAAAAAGTAAATTTTTGGTATAGACTTATCTCAATATTTAAAATATGCTGATAATTCCCCCCCAAAATAATCCAACAATCACTTCTAATAAAAATTTAGATAAGTAGGAATAGATGAGAACTACCTCATCTTGCTAAAGAACATCTACAAAAAAACCTACAATTAACATCACACTTAGTTGTGAAAGACCTAAGACTGGGAACCAGATAAGGAGGTCTACTCCCACCACTTATACTTTATGTAGAGGAGGAAATTCTAGCCAGTGCAATAAGGCAAGAAAAAGAAATAAGTATATAAATCTGAAAGAGATAAAACTACTCCTATTTGCAGATGATTTGTCGATCTATGCAGAAAATGCCAAGGAATCTACAAAGACATACAGAACTAACAGGAAACTTCAGAAAGGTCACAATCGACCTATATAAGCAGCATGTCTCTGAAGACAGCAGAGGGTGGAGAGTTGAGAATAAGTAGAGCAGTCAATGGTCTGACGTGCAGAGGAGTTCAAAAACTGGTTATACTGGGAGTCAGTGAACCAGAAAAACAAAAATCAGAAGAGGGTTTTCTTATGTTCCAACTGTGGTTTCTCTATGCTATCTAAATGTTCAAGGACTCAAGCAAAGAAGGAAATTAGGTGGTTTGCTTTTGACAGCTACTGAACATCTTACCAGTCTCTCAAAGTTACCATAAAGAGACTGAACTTATTTGGGTTAAGAATTCTAAAATCTTTATACATACCCCTTTAGGTGATTCTGTTTTGGTTCTAACAATTAAAAAGTAATACTACATATAGACAGCAAAAAGCTGAAATTTTAAGGCCTCTAGTAAGTCTTGAATTAAGATTTCCTTACCATCTGCTATTTTTAACACAGACACCTAAAAGAACCGTCTTCATTCTCAATCCTACCCCTTTATCACATATACATATATGGATATGCAGCGGCCGTATTTACAGCACATGGAGGTCTAGAATAAAATGTTGCTGTGACACACCCAAAGCCACAGGATTTAGTACCCTTGATTAAATCATGTGTGTTGTGTTCATTAAAACTCAGAGAGTATACAAACGCTCTCCTGCGCAAGGCCTCCAGCAGGGGTGTGGTCCTTCTCCCCAATGCCAGTATTATAATCAGATTCTGTTTCATAGTTAGGATTTATAACACAGGCTATAAAGCACAAACTCACTTCTCAGCCCCCACCACCACTACCTCTTTACCTGGTACTTTCTATCTTGGTACCAACAAGTTTTAAACTGGGAAACCACACAAACTACACAAATACACACACACACACACACACAGAATTAAAAGCACATGTGTGACACCTGGCTGGGAAGCCCTGCCCTTGTACACCACCAATGTCACTCATCACAGGAACACAACTCCACGGCCAGAGTTTTGGTTCTAGCTCTACCATGGACCCACTGTAAAGCACATATAAAAGTATATATACAAAAGTACACCTGGCTGGCTCAGGCACTAGAGTGTGTGACTCGACCTCAGGGTTGTAAGATCAAATCCCACATTGGGTACAGAGATTACTTAAAAATTAAATCTTAAAAAAAAAAAAAATGTAGAGGGCAATGTACAGAAGTTATGCCATGATAAAATTACAAATTATACAGTTACAGACAAATGAATTGTTAAGTGAATATGAAAAAATGAACACTGATTTACTGGTGGTAGCAGAATTATTGTAAATACTTTTTTTGCCCTTTTAATTATGTTTTTACAAACACATGGAAGAGAAATAAAAGGGCTTCATGAAAGCATGTTTAGAATTCTTTAAACAGTCTTTAAGGAACATACTATGCGAAGACAAATTCCTTACTGATAATGATAGGTACACAGCAGAGTAGGACTTAAAAGACCTACATCCTGTTCCCTGCTCAGCCCTTATGTACTAGGAGTGACATTCCCCCAAAGTGACAACCGTTTTTTATGCTTCAAGATTTTCAAAATTCAACAGCTACGCTGTGATCTAAGATCCCTAGCAATTCAGAAATTGCTATGATGCAATGATGTGTCTATAAGTTAGAAAAAGTTCTTGGTGGCAACTGCTTTCTGAGGACTTCACTCATACACTCATACACACTTATGCACCAAATTCACTTGTCTTTTCTTCATCTTCTGGGATCACAAGAAACATCCATGTGCTCAACCATCACAAAGTATAGTCAAAGGAATGTAAGTATCAGAAACATTAAGTCACAATTCAAGTCTCAGTCATTATTTTGTTTATTTGACAATATTTACTGCATACCTATACCACATGCCAGGGACCTTTTGAGGCACTAAGGATAAAGAAGGGGATAATACAATGTTCTTGGCCCCATGAATAAACATATTATTTTGCAGCAATATGCAGTAAGAAAGAACATTAAACAGAACAAAGGCACAGAGTTCCCTTAGAACATCGGATGTGCTGTACTGGCTGGCCTTGGTAATGAAGTGTGTCTGCAGCCAAGGTCTGGACGGAATGAGGGGGAGGGCCATAGACACACTCAGGGGACAAATGTTTCAAACAGAAAAAGTCATAAGCGCAAAGGCCCTGAAGCAGGGGAAGCTTGGAATGTTCAAAATTAGCAAGGAGGTCAATGGGACGGGAGCCAAAAGAACTCTGGGGAAGAACATCAGATGACATCAGAATGGTGGTCAGCATCAGATTGTGTGCAGGGCCTTGTGGGCCATGGTGAGCCACTGATCTCGAAAACCTCTGGAGGATTCTGAACCGGGGATTAACATCACATCAATTACATCCTAAAAGGATTACTCTAGGGGTGCCTGGCTGGCTCAGTCGACAGAGCATGCGACTCAATCTCAGGGTCATGAGTTGGATTTCCCCATTGGGCATGGTGCCCTATTTAAAATTTTTTTTAAATTAAAAATAATAAAAATGAAAGGATTACTCTGCTGTGTGAAAAACAGCTTTTAGGTGCTTGGGGAGAGTAACAGCAAGGACACTGGCCAGGCGGCCACCGCGAGACCATAGGTAAAAGACTACAAGGACTTGCACTAGGGGAAGAGTGGTGGCTACAGTCAGAATGCCTGGGATTCCAAGCTCATGAGTTCAGTGTGGGCTCCAAAGAGAAAGTCAGCAACAACCCCACCGTTTCCGGCCTGGGAAAGTGGGTAAATGGAGGTAAGTCTTCAGACCTAGAAACTGTCCTCAAGATATCAAATTCAGCTGTTCAGAACTAGCGTAAGTATTACTGACCTAAAACTGAAAAGGCAAAAATAGAACGATGGCTTTTTCTACTCACCGTTTGCTGATTGTATCATGTTTCCAGATTTTTGGACTTCATCAAATTTTGTAAAAATTACATTCAACCTGTATGAAAAAAAAATACACGTGTATATATAGAAACTATTAACTATCACCGTTTACAGTCAATTATATTAAAACACTAATGTGAAGTTGAGTCACACTCCAAAAAAAAAAAAAAAATCAAGGATACAAACCCACCTAATAACAAAAACAGTAACTATATTAATAACATTAGTAACACCCAACAATAATCAAGCACTTATTATAGACTAAGCACTGACTTAGGACTCTCTCTGAAAGATCTCAATTAATCCTTACAATAGCCATATACAAGATTATTATCATCCCCATTTTACAGATGAGGAAGTCAAGCCCAGACAACTTACTTATAGGGTAACATGGTGAGTTCAGGTGGAGATGGCAGCCCTGAGAGTAAGGATCCAGAGCTCATATTCTCAGGCACTATATTAAACGGCCTGACCGCTCTACACAAAATGTATACATTATGAAAAGCATATGTTTCTCCTATTTCTGTCTAAGCACAGACTGGTGATTACTTAGGATAAAGATTTTCAAAATGCACTGACATTACAATATAAAGGCTTTTCTGTGACTTCTGCTTAATTAAAAAATGCTATAAATAATTTCTCCAGAAACAAACACTGTACTAGATTAACTGAAAAAAACCTACATGACATTTATTTTCTATTAATGGATCAATGTCACCTTGACATTGAAATTGAAACAAAACTCCTAACCAGTCAAAATATTCCATCCTAAGTGACACCAGTAATGAGAGAAAAATTGGGGGTAGGGTACGGTGAAGCGGTTGCTCTGGTAGAAGTCAAGAAAAAACTAGGCTTTCCAAAGCAAAACACAGATACATTGGAATAAGTGTAAAGGCTGAGAGTCCAAAGCAATGTACTCCTACGTTCAAACCCACACCACCCATTTCAGGGACCAGACTAGAAATTTTAGCACTTGCTTACAAACTGTCCTGTCATACAAGCTCTAATTAGTTCAAACATGTTTGTCTTTTCTTCACAACTAGAATGGACTCTCCTTCAGGATAGGGATGGGAACTATATAACACTATGTCACGCAGGAGCGTTATATCACTGTGTAAATCCTGTTCCTGCCCTGACTATGGAAACTAGGTACATTCTGGCCTCCATTCATCCATAGTTCATTCCCTGAGTCCAGCACTGAGCTGGCCAGATGCTGACTGTGTAAAATTCTTAACTTCTAAAGCTTCTATTTCATTCTTTTCTACTTAGAATGTCACATCCTAAGTAACAGGGGAGCCAAAAGGACACATCAGCAAAGAGAGGTAAAATGAAGGGGGTGAAGGAGCCTGACATCCTGTCTCTCCCCCATTCCCGTTCCATGGCAGGTATCGATCTTTTCTGCCCATCTTTCCACCTAAGCCCAGATGTAGCCTCAAAATCCTTCTCAAAGCTGCTCCAGGCGGGCCACTACCAACTAATCAAAGTTGGCACTGAATTACAAAAATCTTATTTGTCATCTCAGGCCCAGATGGGAGTAAAACTCACTTTCATATCCAGAGGTTACTAAAGATCTGGAAAAATGCCTTAGAGTCAATTTCTTATGATGTTTCCATCACCTTCCCTCTTAAAAGCACCAAAGATCTCCAGTGGCTTACAAAGCGCACAAATAATATCACTACACAGGTTGCCGGGGCATGCCCTGACCAACTTATCACTTTATTGTGTCACAACTACACCCTCTGACGTGAGCATGCCTGCAAGTTTGCAAGTTAGGAACAAGGTATACCTCTCGCCTGGTTGATCCTAAAATTCCTGCCAGGGGCAAGAATTTCATCCATTGTTGGTAAAGCAGTCACCATTTTCAATGTCCGCTGTGGAAGAGTCTGCAGTTGCTCTCTGTCTGTGGTAATGTCTACTCACTGGGGCCACATGACCCACAACTACAACAAGCTACCCACAAGCTGGCCCAAACAACTAAGTGTGAGAATGCTAAAAAGATTACTATTTTTTGGTACCTGCACTTGAATTCAGAATTCCCTCAGGCAGCTGTGCCTTTCCCTCTACTTACACTTCTGTCTCACTAGCTGCCTCATTCTCTGCTCAGCAATGTCTATACAGGGGCTCCTAAGAAGGTTACCACCTCAAGAGATCAGTAACCTGGCTTCAGGACGGTCTAGCACCAACAAAGACTTCCTGAGGAATGGCTTTTGCCTTTAGCTCTGAACACAGCAATACGAAATGCCTCTCTGGGACCAACGAATTTGCACAAACCTAGAAGCGTGAGTTTTATACACTCAAAGACACTGAATATATAACTAATGATTACTCTCCGAAGCCACCAACTTTTTTTTTCACTTTTTAATTTTAAATCTCGACAAATAACCAATACAATTTTCCCCTGGTTTTTCTGAATTCAAAATTTATATTCAACTCTGCAATCCAACTGGCATTTATTTTACTGTAAGATCTAGATCTAACTATTCCTTCCTAGAATATCTTATAAATTTAGGGGCATCTGAGTGGCTCAGTTGGTTGGGCATCGGGACTCTTGATTTCGGCTCAGGTCATGATCTCAGAGTCTGAGCTCAAGCCCCATGTCAGGCTCCATGCTGGGTGTGGAGCGTGCTTAAGGTTCTCTCTCTCTCTCCCCCTCCCAACCCCCTGGCTCGCACTCTCTCTCTCTCTCTCATTCAAAATACAGATAGATAATTTTTAAAAATTCAAATAATTCGTAAATACTAGTATGCTCACAATCAACAAGCTCCACCCATACACTCAGAGCTTTTGACTTTTTAGTCCACTGCTCTTAAATATGAGCAGACAACCAAGCATTCAAAGATGCCTAAGTTTTTAAAGTGAAAGAGACCAAGATGAACAAACACATACTCCAAAATCACAACACAGAGGAAAGAAGAGGCAATGATAAGTTTTTAAAATATATCATTAATACTTCCAAAGAGATAAAGAAAATACTGCAATTATAAAAGCTAACAGGGGGGTGGGAGGATGGGTTAGCCTGGTGATGGGCACGTTCTGCATGGAGCACTGGGTGTTATGCACAAACAATGGATCATGGAACACTACATCTAAAACTAATGATGTAATGTATGTGATTAACATAACAATAAAAATTTAAAAAATAAATAAATAAAAGCTAACAGGGAAGGAGCCCTTCAAAATGACAGAATAAGGACCTCTGAAAATCTGCTCCTCCAAAGCAGCCAAGAAAACACTGGCAAAAATCTATCAAAATCAAGTTTTTCAGGCTCTGGAAATTAAACAAAGGCTGGCAACAATCCAAGGAGCATTCTTCAAGAAAAACGGCTACTCTTGGTAAGGATAACAAGCTTTTCACTGTTTTGCTGTGTCTTATTTCCATCTCCAACTCACTAGCTAAAAATCAACAGCCTCACAATCATGATAGTTTGAAAACCAGCAGCCTTGAAGCCACTGGGAGGAACTGACCAAGTTTGGAGCACCACAAAAATCCCCATTCTAAGAGAACTGTAATTATTTCGCCTGTCTGGCATATCCCAGAATCCCCATTCACAGGGTTTTATTTTACCTGATTCATAGCACACTTAGTGGGAGAGCCTCTTTTCCCTGAAGCCATGATCAAAAAGAATCACCAACAACTGTTTAACATGGCAGCCGCCCAAGGTGATAAAACTGGAACAAAAACACTGACCAAAAAACTTACAAAGAAAAATGAAGAAGGATATATTCACAGGGAACGTTGAAAAAATCGGACATATTCCTGGGAATCTGGAAGGCTACGCATATGTGCAAGTCTGTAAGAAAGTGTGAAGAAAGACCTAAGAAGACACTAAGGTCTCATGTCTGACTGACTTTGAGGCTCTGCACAAGCAGACAATAAAGGGGAAGGCAGAGATGTATAAACTGCCTGCCAGAACACCGAAAACATTCCTCAACATACACAGGGACAGCCCTTCAGCAAGGGCTATGAGATTTACTGGTTGAAGGCATTCAAGGAAATCTCTGTCTAATCATTAGCCCAACACTAAGCTAACCAAGCAGAGACTGCAGGAGCCATACACATCAAAAAAAAATACAGACTTTATGGAATTAGTTCTGGAAAATCACTTAAGGAACAACAAATCTGGAGAAAGAGCAAATGTGATTTGCAAAGCTGTCACAAGAGATTACTGTAAATGACCAGTTTTAGCTAGTCAAGTATAAAAAAATTATACACGTAAAGAAACAAGAAAACATGGCCCATACAGGGGGAAAAAAATTAGTCACAGAAACTATCCTTAAAGGAAACCCAGACAATGAACTTACTAGATGAATACTTGAATTCAACTATTAGAAATATGTTGAAAGAACTAAAGGAAATTACTTCTAAAGAACTAAAGGAAAGTATAAGAACAATGTGTCATCAAATAGAGACTATCAATGAAGAAACTGAAAACATAAGAATCATAGAGAAATTCTAGAAATGAAAAGTACAAAAACTGAAATAAGAAATTCACTAGATGGGGACGTCTCGCTGGCTCGGTCAGTAGAGAATGCAACTCTTGATTTCTAGGTTGTGGGTTCAAGCCCCATGTTGGTATAGAGATTACCTAAAAAAATAAAACCTTTTAAAAAAATTCATAAGAGGGTTCAACAACAAATTTTTGCTAGGGGAAGAAAAAAACTGCAAATTTGAAGATGAATCAATTGACAATACCCTGTATGAGAAACAAAACAAGAACAGAGCCTAAGAGTTCATGTTCTTATAATACCAATGTACCAACATACATATAACGGGAATACCAAAAGAAGAGGAGAAAAAAAAACGACAGAATATATGGAGAAATAATGGCCAAAAACTTCATACATTTTATATAAAATTTTAATCTACATGTTCAAGAAGCTCAACAAACTTCAAATAGGAAAAACTTAGAGATCCAAACCTAGACGTAAGAGAAACAAGCTGTTGGAAGAAAAGACAAAGAAAATCTTGAATGCAACAACAAACAAGTCAGGAAACAACAAATACTGGTGAGAATGCTGAGAAAGAGGAACGCTCTCACACTCGGTGGTAATGCA